TATTATTATTTTCTTTGTATTTTCTATAGGCAATGAAAAAAAGAAAAAAGAAAATCTTTAAAGAAAAATTGCGAAGCTAAAAATTTGCCTAGTAAAATATTTTTACAATTTAATTGTAAGATTTTATTTATACTAGTAGTGAATATGATATATATATTAAATTTATATTAATATATATAAATAATTTTATTTTAAAAATTTTATATTAAATTAAAATATGAAAAATATTATTTATTTATAATAATAATATTACTATAATACGAATATTAGCATAATTAATATCGAATATATTGAGTTGGCAAATAAATAATCGCGGATTTTGTTGATTTTCAAATCAGCAATGACTTAGTTGCTAATCCAATATATTTAATAATATACATGTAATATTGTATTATTGTATATAAATAATATGCATAAATATTATTCTACCCCATTGAAGTAATTCCATATTATTTTAGAATAATTTTACCTGGTTTTATATTACTGCTTGACCACCGCCATATTTGCATGATGAGTGGTCTAACTATTTCGAGTATTTCTGAAAATTTTACTAGCCAACGACCGAGAAACAACACATTTACCTATTTTACTGGTGTTTTATTGTACACGAATATTCCTACATAAATATATATATATATATAGACGGAAGGAAAGTCCAAATCCATTTATTCAAAATTCTTTTATGGTTAATTTATGTAATGAGAAGAAAAAATTTTAATCTCATTTTTTGTTTACCTACAACTGACACGAATAAAAAAAAAATAATAAAAAAAAAAAATGAACTTTAAAATAAATTTTTTTTCCACAGGAACACATGGTGTTCACATTCCGATTTAAATATTGACAAGATTGTATAAAAATATCAGGCAAGTTACAACAGCTAAATTTAAAAACTTAATGGACCTACTACGATATACACCACCGGAATATCATATTTTCTTTTAATCCCTATCACACACACACACACACGCAAAATTTAAATGAATAGTAAATTGTTTTGTAATTGATGTAGTTAAAAAATCATTTAAATCGCATAAATTAAGTTTCTGAAGTGTTTTAAAGATATGTAAGATAAATTGAGTTATTGGTTTTTTCAATTTAAAGCATCTTAAATTATAATGAATAGACTTGGGCACCTTAAAACTTTATAATGAATCCGATTGTTAATTTGGAAAATGGCCAATTTCCATTTTTGATAAGAAAACGCATATTATTTGATTAATAATTGCCATTATTTTAATAAGAAACTAAAAAATTGAACTCCTTTAGATACAACTAAGCAGTATGACTCGGTAATATCTTGTACGTATATTTTTAATTGCATTGAAACGCAAAAACTTCAATATCTCGATTCAAACATAAATGGAGGAAGGCAACTTTCAAACTAAATGGTTCATTTACATAAATTCTTTTTCAAAAGCAACACATGTTTCACCTTCAAATTTAAGGGGCATTTAATCCCTTTAATCTTGCATCCCTTAGTGTGTTCGCTTAAAATGCATATTATTTTTCCAAATTAAAAAAAAAACTACTGCATGGTACATTTTTATTTTTTAAGAAGATGTACGTGAGATATGAAGAAG